CTCTCTCTCTCTCTCTCTCTCTCTCTCTCTCTCTCTCTCTCTCTCTGTGTGTGTGTGTGTGTGTGTCTGTCTCTGTCTCTCTCCCCCTCTCGGTCTCTCTCGCCTCCGCCTCCCCCTCCCAGGAGCTAAATTTAAATAACATGGCAGATTTTCATCCATCCTGGAAATCTCATATGTCCTATTAGGAAGCAGATTCTGCTCATATTCACACAACCCTAAATATTTCTTGGAAAGACGCTCCAGCAAAACCAAAAGCACACTAGTCAAGAATTCAGCCTCTTGCAGGTGATGTTGAGCTAATTCCCACAGAGAGGAAAAGTTATTTCCTAGAACTAGAGAAAAGCTCCAACACAAGCGGTGAGGCAAGATTCCAGCCCATTGGCTGCTTTGTTCAGCATTTCTACTTCCTGCGCCCAACTACAGTTCTTCAGAATGTACAGTATGTTGCAAATATTGAATCAAATCAGGACACAAGGGCTTTCCTTTCTGGAATTTGAATAGCCTTCTCTCTATCTATGCAAAGCACACAATCCCATCTTCAATGCTACCTGGAAGAAAGCCCCTCATGAAGCTTACTCCCAAGTAGGCCTGAAATGCCTCCGTAAAGTGCCCACAAATACTCTACAAAACTGTGCAACAATTGAAGAGTTACCCATACCTTTTTTGATGACCGACTGGTCCAGCAAGTTCATGCCGCTGTTATTAGCATCTTCTACTGCCTAAGGACAGAAGGGGAGAAAGAAGGGGAAAAAAATCACTATTCAAATTGCACTTCGCAAGAACAAAGAGGTGCATAGAGCTGGACAAAGTCCCACACCATCTCAACTTCATTTAGGATCTAGAACCCTTGTTATTTCCAGGAAACGCAATTAATTTACATTTTCCCTGTGTTGAAATGATATGAAATTGAAGCTTCCTTTTTATTAGGGGATCTGGGATGAAAAGAAAATGTAAGGTATAACCCTTCTCTTTCTAATGATTTAAGAGGCCAAGTAACCCATCAATGGTGCTCAGCCTTTATTCCCTGGAGTTTTACAATTTTGGCTTTGGTATCTGCGCAGCCCACTGAGACCAGCAACTACACTTTTGACAGGTGAAAAGAAAGTAGCAGTGGATGCAAGTTTGCTCAGCAGGAAAACTCTTTGCTGCTTATTCACTTCCCTTCTGACCTAGTTTTTATTGGAGTTCCCTGTGCTCAGAAGGGATTGTCCCAAGAAAATAGGTACCGAGCTTTGCTCTGGGAAAAAGTAAACAAGGGACTCTTTGCATTCCTCCTTATAAGGATCAATGGCTTGCTATATATTTATTACACAATTTATGCTGCTGAGTCTCTGATGGATGTTGGAAATGGACTTAGAACTTGAAATCAACCAAATTAGTGCAAATTTACAAAAAAGTTACCCAACTCCCTCTAGTCCACCAACTCCAAGGATTACTGACTGGGAGGGGGGGTACCACTCCAAACACAGTATTTAACATGATCAAGGTTGGGGATGTTTTTCCCCTTTAAAGCAGATAACTGATCAAATAAAATATTATTCCAAGAGTTATCTCAGCATTTTGAGTTTATTACCATGCTCCCTTTTATGGGACAATTGACTTCAGTGGCTGAGAAGAGGCCAGGGAGAGGGAGAGAAATTATCATGACAAAGAAGGCAATGCAAAGACAATTAATTGTGACAGGTCTCAAATGTACATTATGACACTGAGCTACACATGGTGGGAGTAAAGAAGTGACTTCAGCTTTTATTTATTCCTGTACAGTTGGACTCCTGCCTTTATGGAGTCTGAGATGGAGCAAAAAATAAATGGGATGGGAGTAGTAACTGATTGGCATAATTATCGTTCTTCCTATAAGGGCAACTTTTACTTTTGACACCGGAGATTCCTTACTACCTTGTGGCTGCTACCTGTGGAAAAAGGAAGCAAGAGGCCCTCAACTTTTACAGGGAATTGCCATGTATACAATACTAATTGAACAGATTAGGGCTCCAAGGAGACAATTTTAATATTGGTTTAGGTAGCCAGACCTTGTTATTTACCAAAGGCTGGTAAATTTGTATCTGGTATGCAAAGAATGCAAAACAAAGAATGGTAAATTCTGATTAATCACTAGCCAGTAGGGATGATAGGAGACCAACACTTTTGGGCATTGTAGGGGGAGAGCCGTGTTAGTGTATGGTGGTAAAAAAAATCAGGAGACTAACAGCATCTTTTCTGACTAATGCATGCCATTAACTCTCATGACATGCAGATCGCATAAGACTCATGTCTCTTGGTAAAATGCTTTCAAACACTTCAGAAGAGCATCAGGTTGGGGAGGTGTCCTTTCTATATTGGTACATGCAGCCTTGCACCATACTGGGAACCAGTCCTATGGAACGAAGGGGCTTCTGATGCTAAGAAGTCAGCAATGGGTCTGTGCTGTTGATTTCCTCCTGAATGATAATTGCAGCTCCTTACATGTAGCAACTCGCAGTGGACAGAAGCATCTTGAAAGGAGCAAGCAATCCAATTAAGCACCTCCCTTTTGTATCAGAAGCATTTCCTGCTACAATTGTATGAACTCAGCCAGCCTGAATCTGCCTCAGTTTATCAAGACAGATTCTTTATTTCAGAACTAGGTTCCCTGTTTCTCTGCCATTAAATAATAGAAAATTAGCCATCATTGCTCGGTGATAAAGAAGAACAAACAGAAAGGTCATAAGTAAAACTAGAATATATCGTTCCCCACATCCTTGTACATGGCAAGAACATGATCTGGCCACACCCTTTCTCTTCTGTCTCTCAGCCCAAGTTAAGTATTAGGTTCCCTTAAGTTTACATCAATTTAGGTTGCTGTTTCATAAAAGTTGTAGGCTGTCTCGCACTGCCCGTTATCTCAAAAATGGTTAATATATTTTAGATCAAGGCGTTGTGTGAATTCAACCATGGTAATTAATTCAGTGCATCCTAGAAATTCAGAAAATAGTGTTGAGTAAACCATTGTTCAATTAACCTTAAACGTCTTGAGTAACCACAATCATCTTTCAGAAGAGGACAGCTGAAATCCAAGGAATTAACTTTGTTTTTACAAGGCTCTGGGCTCATTCAGATGCTCCAGACCTCCAGAGAATTATAAGAAACCCAATAATTATGCATGATAATCAAGGAACAAGATTCAACACAGAACTGGCAACTAAACATATATCTATGAAACCAACCCACTCCAGAGTTTTGGGGCTGAGCCACTAAGAGGCCAAGTATGGTTCTAGGCACCTTGTGCCCTAAATCACAACCCACATTTCTGACTCTCCATTTGACTGGCAGCCAGCATTCCATTTCATTCAAGGTTTTCTGCATCACCCAAGTCAAGTCACTTATAATTTGGTCTTAAACACATTGGCCTGGAAGCAGGCAGACTGAACAGACCAGAAATCCAAGCAGCCTTCCTCCAGCTCCATGTCAAAGATTCATCCCCACCATCTGGAAATTTTACTGCCTTCAGAGAGGTTGTAATCTTGGGCCACATTTTACTTTGTGGCTTTTCTTTCACAGTGGTACATTGGCATGACAGAACTAATGCACCATAAACTCTCTCTCCCTCTCCCTCTCTCCCCCTTCCTTCCTTCCTTCCTTCCTTCCTTCCTTCCTTCCTTCCTTCCTTCCTTCCTTCCTTCCTTCCTTCCTTCCTTCCTTCTAGCTGCTCATCATATAGGTCCACATCATTTTGGGAGGGTTCACATTCTACACTGACCCCTGAACTCAGCCAGAACACCATATCCCATCCCCAGCACTCAGCCAGGCAGAACGTGTTGAGTGAACCTCACCAGTAGCTCTTGCTATCTAAATCTGGAAAAAAGAAAAAGAAAAAAACCTTGCCCACAGCAACCTCTCAGCTGGGAGGAAGTTAGAAGCTCCCATAAAGTGATTAAAGTTAAAGTGATAAAGCGTTGCCGTGCCCCTTCCCCTTCCGCACTTTTATAGTTTCAGGTGAGCTTCTAAGAATGTAAAAAGAGTTTCACTGGCTCAACGGTCCTATAGTGGCTCTCCAAAGACCCACAGCTCTCCAGACAAGATCCCACTTTCTCCGTAGGTAGGGTTACTTTATGCCGGTAGTATTTGGGGGAAGAAGGTGGGTTTTAAACTGCGCGAGTCACTTTCTTCCAGGACAGAATGAAATCTGAATCTGCCATCCTGGGTTCACTATACTAACACCCTTCCTTCTTCACGGAGCCAGGCGGCTGAGTGGTGCTATCTTCGGACAAGGGTTCCACCCGACCTCAGCTCCTTCCCGACTCCCCCTCTCCCCCCCCCACTCCACAATGTGGTTGAGCTGTTGTAGTTAATGAGAAGAGTCTTGTCTGATTTTCTATCTAATTACGGCCGCCTGCTGGGTTTTTGTACAGGATATTCGCGCAGCATGCTGGCAGTTAATAGTCACAGAGAGAATCGTAAAGATTTAATTAGGACTCCACGCGGAAACGTGAACAGAAGCATGCGCGTGCACGGGTACCCACCCACCTTACACAAACTCCCACACACCCCTCACACTTTTAATTGTCGGGTGGGTTTCTTTAATGGCAGCCTTCACTTCCAGAATTCCTTTCCAAAGGTACTTCAGCTCCCAGAATTCCCCGGGCCTCTCTGGCTAGGGAAGATGGGAAATGAGGTCCAAGATGAAGTGGGCAGTGGATTGGGAAAGATTCGGATGTTTCACCCGCCACAAAACTTGATCTCTTCAACTCCTCTTAGAAGAGGCGGCAAGAGAGAGAAGAGGCGGAGAAAGGTTGGAGCTGAGAAGAAGAGGGGTCACTAATGACCCACCACAATTGAAGACATTTCTCCCCAGTCCACTTAATAAAATCAGAATCACGGGGAGGGACTGAGTGTGAGGGGAGACATCTCTAGTGTCCTTCGCTTCCTCTTGAACGCTTGCTTGGAAGTCAGCACCTTGCATTGCCAAGGGATTCATTTCCACATCAATTTGCAAAAGTGGGGTTGCAACCTGATGCACACTCCTTGAGCTCGGTGGGAGACACGTGCATGAGAATGCCCCCGTCAAGGGATTTCTGTAAGAGGGGAATTCCTGGGGCTACCCTTCCATTCTCGAGGCTAAAGAGAGTGCGGCTGCAAATGAGAATCTGGCTCAAGGCTCCATCCAATTGGACGGCGAACCTGTCTCTGAAACAACAAAATTGACCCACAACGAGAGAAGCCCAAACGCTTGGCAAACTTGCAACACGATCTACTTGGGAAGCAAGGTCCACTGTTGAAACTGTAACTAGGAGTAAGCATCCTGGTTTCCCTTTCATCTTCTTCCAGGTAATAAAATTTGCAACGGAAGTGATAAGCGAAACAAAACCAGTGCAGGGCTCACATGGAACTGTGAACGAGGACGTCTACCTGAGCGAACTATCCAATGTTTCTAATGGTAATCTCATACATATTTACCTTAATCTCTCCCCCACATATACAGACATACTCTCATGTAGGCAGCACTCTGCGTGAGTGTATAATAAACTCGATATCATAAATAAGTTGACCTTCATATTTTAATTAAAGCCAAAATTGCAAGTATCTTCCTGGCCTTCACACGCGTGTGTCTTATATAACGCTCTATCCGTCTTGTTCTCCCTTCTAACTTTAATTTACAAAGGAAATTATGAAATAAATACCAAGCTCCTGGTATAACGTTTGTTACATATACTCTAAGAGTCCGATCCTATATCTTTTCAGAAATAAGTCTCACTGAACTTCAAAGTAAAATTTTTATTTTGAAAATTACAAGAATTCCACCGAATAACCACCGAACCTGTTAACCATTCATGATATCCTGCCCACAGAATTCTGCAGTTGTTTACAAAGAATCCAATTTAGAATGGGGCAGGTCATAGTGGCATCTGTAGATGCAGCAAATTTAATCCGTTTAGCTAAGGCACCTGTCAGTCTCACTTCAGTCAGAGTACTTACAGCAGAACAAATGGAATGATCTTTTCAAACCCATTAGCACCAAGATACATTTTTTTTAAAATCGTCTAAAACAACTTAAAATCGGATCTCTTAAAGGGAAAACGGAGTGTTTGGATAGTCTTGTTCTCCACTCTTTCAACAGTGTTTTACCCTTACAGGTCAGGCATTGTTGGGCGAACCCAACTTCCAACGAATCGATGGGAAAGATCCAAGTCTATGATCTTAAGTTAACGGGGGGGGGGGGGTTTAACTTTCCCCGAGATAACATAGTTTTTGAACCGATCCGTGACTTAAAGAGCTTCTTGCCACTACTTCTCACAGAAACACCTAATTTCTTGAAAAAGAAAAAGACTGGGATGATGTGTGGAGGACCCCAATCTTACTGACCCAAGACCCTGCAACTTACACCCTCCGGGTCTTGATTACAGCAACCCACAGGCCCTATTGGATCGCTTTGGCGGCACTCTCTCCGCCCTGCCACTCTAGGCACCTTTGGCTTAGAAGCAAGTGGCTTGGAACGCAATTAAATTCTCTTTAGAGTAAACCTGCAAAGGTCTGGGCTGCACGTGGCCAGGGGCAGAAATCTACACACCGGAAGAACCGCCTTTCGTTTAGAAGAGCAGAAACCTGGCAAGAACGAATGCCTCGTTCTTCTTCTATCTCTACTTGCCTGATTTCTTTTGGTCATAGTCAGATACATTCCCATTCAACCGGCTTAAGGGAAGGGGAACAAGATGCAGTTTTCGTTCAGTTTTCTCCCTCTCTCCCCTTCCCCCCCCCCCCGAAGCCAAATAAAGTCCTGTATTATAATATAGGAGACACCCCAGGTTCTCCTTATCTCGATTCAGCTAAATTCTAAATAAACAAACGACCGAGTTAGAAAGGCGAGAAGAACTATTAGAAGGGAAAACAAAGTATCTAACTTAATCTGGCAAACGTTCTTGAAAATGTAACATGTCGCAGGGCCTTCCCCTTTCTCTCCTTTTATTCCTGAAGGTGATCTTTGATTTGACACGGTAATTGCTGTTAAGCAGTTTCTTGTCTGCAAAGGCATAGTTTCAGAAATTTTATAATAAATGTATTTCAAAATCAAATTGCCCTCCTTTGCAAAGGTGCAACACCTAGTCAGGGGAAGCAGTTGGTTATCGTAATATCGATCCCTGATTATAGGCCTCCAGGACTCCAGGTTTGGGATAGAGTAGGGGGTAAATCTGTGGTCAAAGTGGACAGTCAGCTTCCTTTTTTACAAAAAGGCCCTTTCTTGTGATCTGTCTCAGTTCATTGCTTTTTCCCATTCACCCTGGAAGCTTTAAGAAGTAAAAAAAAAAAAAAAAAAAGGAAGGCTCCGTTTTTGCCTAGCTGAGGTTACCCTTAAGGGGAAAAGGCAGGGTCGTGCCCATTAAATCGGAGGAGCCTGCTTCAGGCAGTTGCACGACGAAATCCGGAAACGGTTGGCGGAAAACGCAGCACAAAACCACACCGGTTGCGGGGAAACGCAAAACCTTAGTGCTCACCCGCGTCCCACTTCCTATCGGTTGACCTGCAAAACATGCGGCACCGTCAGTGAGCCCCTGTTTTCCCCATTCCGTTTGCTCCTCTGCTTTTCACAGCTCCAGTTTTCGCTTTGGAAAGTTATTTACACACACACAGAGACACAAAGCCGGCAACGGGCAACCAAAGCCAGGAGGTGCGCTGACTCCAAGGCATTCAGCCGCCGGCAAGAGAGAGACCGGTGTGCCAGGGTCCGGCTTCAAGGCCAGAATCCATCGGAGCTAAGAAAAAGCCACACAATATAGGCTGAAGGCGGCAGCCCTTTCCCCACCAAAAGACGCCGCCAGCTTCTTAGATCAGGGTAATCTGCCACGTTCTTGGCGAACTAAATTGGAAAGGGGGGAAAAGCCAGACTAAAACTGAACCAGGCTCCCGGTGCTGTGGCGGGCTGGGCTGGGACAAAGCCCTGGACTTCTCCAAGCTGGCCTGGAATTTAATTCTTCCTGCCCAGCCTTTTTCTTCGAAGGCCCGGCGGGGTCTAAAGCCAGCCTAGGAGGAGAGGGGAGAACAGAGTGGTAGGGACCGACAAGCTTCCAGGGGTCCGGGAAGAGATGGGGATTGGAGAGGGGATCTTGACATTTCTTTGGCCACCCTCGAGAGTCCGGAGCCCGCCGGCTCGATGCTCCTTGAGACCCGTCTTTACTTAGAAACGAGTTCCTGGGGGGGGGGGGTTGGGAAAATGTGACGGGACCAGGCCCTCTGGGGTTGGGCAGAAACTTTGCGCCGCTGGCTGGGTCTGGGTCTGGGTCTGAGTCTGTAACAAGGCAGCTCAGCAGTTCCAGCAACCTTCGGCAACTGGCCGCCACACGAAGGCGGCGGACTCGCCTCTTGCCAAAGGCCAGGCTTGCTCAGGAGCCTGGCCCGTCAAAGCTGCCCGGGGCAGAGGAAGAGCCCTTTTAGGCCACTTCACCGGACCGATGGGTCGCGGCATCCAACCCAGTTTGCACCGGTCCCGCGGTGGCTTTCGAGCCTCGAAAGGGTTCCAATAAACTCCGACGGGGCAATGACCCTAACCCTTAGCTCCTGTTCCGGAGCCGCGATCCCCAACGCCTCAGCCTTCCCGCCAGGACTTACCTGCACATCCTCCATGCCGGGGTGCCCGATGCCGTGGAGGGAAAGCGCGTCGCCCATGCCGGAGTCCAGGCCATGGTGAGCCGAATGGAGAAGGACGTCTGGCCGCCGGACGGAGTGGTAGTCCCGTCGCGGGTCGAGGCCCGAGAGCTGCGGCAAAGAAGCCCGCGGCTGGGGCAGCAGGGAGCCGGCGTCGGAGCCCACCTCTTGCCGCTGTCGCTGCCCCCAGGGATGCTGCTGGGGCTGGTGCAGCGGGTTCAGGGCGTAGGGGTCATTGACGTGGGAGTAAGGGTCCTGGCTCTGGTGGTAAGGAAGAGGCTGGTAGGGCGGCGGGAAGTAGGGCGGCTGGAAGTCCGAGGAAGGGGTGTGAGAGAGCGGAGGGGCGCTGGAGTAAGGGCCTTGAGAGACCGAGCCCAGCTGGGAGAGCCGGGAACTGTGGCTGGGGACTCCATCGTGCCGGTCCTGGAGGGAGCAGTTCAGGCCCCAGACAGGGATACAAACAAAAGAAGCAGAGAGAAAGAGAGAGAGAGAGAGAGAAAGGCATTTAAAAAAGTCATTCCGTACGACTAAAAAAACCCATCGTAAAGTGCTCCTATGTCTCCCAACGTGGTGGTGATGAGGGTCGCCATGTGCCACCATACGAGTCAATGTAAATATTTTCCTGGGATTAATGACCGTTTGTTTCTTATCTTCTCCCCATACGTTCAACTATAATTGCAAGCAATCGAAATGGCCTTTACTAAAGCCCAACGCTCAAGTGGCATAATGAGGTTGAGGATGAGGATGATGATAAAATGGATTATTATTTTTTTTTAAAAAAAAAAAAGTTCACCAAAAGGCTTTCACTGCACCAGGAAAAATGATGAGAATGAGAACAACAGTATAATGCTGCTTGAGCCATTCGACAGCATATGAATAAATGTGAACGTATAAAACCATCAATTGCTTCAGAAAAAAAATATCTTTAAAATGTGAGAAAAAATCAACAAAGGGGCCATCTGCTCAGGTTTTGGGTGGCAAGACATAGGACTAGGGGGCTATAATTCTAAGGGCAAGAAAGTATAAAAACAGCTTTAGCCAAAATGTTTCTCAAAGAAACTCAACTCCAAAAGGAAAAAAAATAATAAGTGGTGCATGGACAAATAAGTCTGTTTCTGGTCTGAAATAAACGTATTGGTCTTGGTCTCTTAACACTTTCCCCCAAATTACATTTGTCTCTGATAGAAAAAAAATGAAATGACTATAAAAAGAGTATATATTAATGATTATCTCTAACGACCTGAAAAAAAAAATTAAATGTCAACGAATATTCTTATAACACTGATACATACTATAACTGAAGCAAAGCTGCAATTTTAGACCTCCCCTCCCCCGCACCAGAAAATATAGCTCCTTTTCTCAACAGCAATATCTCCTTCCTCCCCTGAAAAAGTTTCCCTTCACTGATCCCCCCCACCTTCCTGGTTCCCAGTTCAAATGAAGAACACACAATGCAAAATGGAGAAGCAGCTGCAAGCGTCTTCCAATTATTGTGCTAAATTACCAAGCCAAAGGCGTTGAGAGAAAGGGGGGGGGGGAGAGAGAGAGGCTAAGAGAGATAGAGAGAGAGAGAGAGAGAGAGAAGGAATGAGAAGGGGGTCTAGAAACAGGGGACCGAAAGGCAAAGAGAATAGGGCAATTTTTAAAACACAACATGGACCCAACTCACCATAGCGGAATAGGTGTGGACTAACATCTGGAAATTTGTTTAAAAAAATCTTGAAACAGGTAAAAAATAAAATAGCAGTAGAATAGTACTACTACTACTACTACTAATAAATTAATATTAATAACACTAGGAACAAGGAGAGGGGCGGTATCAAGAAAATCTGCAAAGGACCTTGGTACACCCAGGAGAACAGCTGGAGGTATTTCCGAGACTATCCATCAAAACTAAAATTTGGAGGAAAATGTGTGTGGAGAGAGTCTATGGTCGGTGAGGAGCGTCCTCGTGGTGCCCCCCCTTCCCCGCCCGTCGCGCTTCCAAAAGCAATCCTCTTCGACCCAAGGCAAGCTTCAGACTGCTCCAGCGCCCCTTTCTCCTTTCCCTTCCCTACGCCGCCTCATAATAATTGATATTCATGACTATTAATATTACACGACTACTTTAAAGGGAGAATGCCAGACCAAATGGAGCGTGAAGGCTTTGCAGGCAGCTCGAGAGCTCCCCTCGTATTGTAAATGACGTTCATTCAGTGGAGAATTACTAGATGTAATCAGACGAGGGGGCTGGCGGAGGCAGCGCTGGGGGAGAGCGAGAGGGAAGGGACAAAAAGTTGAACGGGCAAGAGGCAGAACTTCCATTAATTTGAACAGGGGAAGAAGGTGTGTAAACGAGGCGCTACTGATCTGAGCAGCAAGGAAGTGATTTGGAGCAATACTAGAGGCAAAAGGAAAGGAGGGAGAAAATCATATTTCCCTTCTCTCCTCCACCCCAACCCGGTTTTTTTTTATATATTTAATTATAGATTCCAAATAGGAAGGAAAATCGATTGCCCTCGGTGCTTTTGTTCTGATTTTTAAAGCAAATAAGAGCCTCTCCAATCTTGTCATTTTTTTTTAACATTTAAAGGCAGCCGAAGCGATTTGTTTACAGAAGCAATTAAGCTTGAAAGAAAGAAAGAAAGGAAGGAAGAAAGGAAGAAAGACAAAGAAAGGAAGGAAGGAAAGAAAGAAAGAAAGAAAGAAAGAAAGAAAGAAAGAAAGAAAGGAAGAAAGAAAGAAAGAAAGAAAGAAAGAAAGAGAAAGAACTCAACCGAATTCTGCTATAGATTGGTGAGGTTTTGCAACGGGCTACCGAAAGCCAGCCAGTGTACATGGGCGAGTGTGCGCCCGCCCAATATACATTTACTTTGCCTCTGGCAGCTGCCGTGCCAAAAAGGCGCCCAGCAGTCACCTAGACAGAACACGCGTATGCAATGATTCCAAAGAAAAACCAAATGTACAGTTCTCTGGCAAAGCCAGAGGCGACAGAAAACCTTTCTCACGTTACAATAGCTGCTGCCCAACCCTGGTAACCGCACCAGTTAAAAGTTCAACCGAACACTCTTTCCTAAACGCGTTCTCGGTCGGCAAATCAGTTTCAGGAGAAACTTGGATGCCTAAGTTCTTAAAAATTACCATTACTTTACCGCCCTTGAATCTTACGTTTTAAAGCTTGGCCGGTTTGATGTACAAAAGGAAAGGTTCCCTACACGAAGGTGGGTGGGTGCGTTTACCCGCGCGGGCGGGCACAGGCGCACGCACACCTGTCTTAAAAGTAAATTTATGGCATAGTTAGAAAACTCCAAAGAGAAACGGTTTTAGAGTCCTTCCGGTATCTCAGTCCCCTTTCTAGAATTTGCAAGGATCTTTTAATCCACCCAAAGTCAGGGTAACACTATTCAGGTGAGGAAAAAGAACGAGAAGTACACCTGGGCGTACTTAGAAACCCTCGCTAGCCGGCTGAAGGACCCCCGATTTGCTCTTGAAGGGTGGCAGAAATTGAGAGGCAGAATCTTTGCCTCGCTGGCTCACCTTCCCTCCAGTAGGGACGCCACTCACGTTGACCCTTGTATTTAAGTGAGTCGCTGGGAAGGGGACGCCAAGGGGAAGGCCAGGGAGAGCGGTGGGGGTGGGGTGGGAGAGAAGTCCGCAGCGGGGAAATGGAACGGAACCGAACCCCTTTGCCGGCGCTTCGTTGATCCCTGTCCTGACGGGCGCTTTTGGCAGTCTGGAGAGTCTGTCCTGGGGCTGCAAGTGTTACCCTGACTTTGGGTGGATTAAAAGACGAGTGCCCCAGCCCAGCGCCTTGGAGGGAGACGAGGCGAGGCAGTCTCGCTTCTCCCACAAGTTTAAGCTTTCAAACATTAACTGGTCGGGCCAAGCCGGCGGCAGACTTCGGGTTCGTTCAGAAAGAAACGGTCAACTTAACCGGCCGGAGGAAACTCGAATCCTGTTGCCTCGGGCGCGATGCTTTCTCCGAGGGCGCCAGCTGGTCGCCCACCCGAAAGAAAAGGGGCTGGGAAGAAAAAAAAAAAAAAAACCAAACCCGAAACTATCCACCACCGGAGTCCAAACGCTGGAAATGAGTGAGAAAACTCTCTTTTCAGCAGCCCGGAATAGACGTTAATATTCTAACCTAAGGTGGGGCTTAAGCGCTTAGGGCAAATGGATTTATTTCGGGGCAGGGCAAACGGCACTGGGTGATAACGCTGGCCCGTTTCGGAGAAAGCCGGATCGCGCCTGGCAATTTAGACCAGCGGTTCGAGATAAAAGAGTTCAAGTAAGCGAGCCGGCTCTCTTGTTTCTCGGGCGCGGAAGATGCCTGCAAAGCAAAAGAGCCCAGATCGCAGTAAGGGCTTTTTTTTTGGGCGGGCGGGGGTCTCCGGGACGCGTCTGGACTTGTGCCTTTCCGCCCTGCTTCGCGCTGCCTCACAAAGAAGAAGCGAGCCGAGCAAAGCAAGCCCCTTCGGGTTCCGCAGGAAGCTGCCTTTGTGAAATACACACAGGAAAGGAAGGGTGGCTGCGGTCTGATCGAATTCCGGTGGATCTAAAGCGAGCGCGGCGTGCCGGGGAAATCCCTGTTTTCCCTGCCAGCTGACTGCAGCGTGCCCGCCTCTTTCATTTCTTGAGAGGGAGAAGGAAACGAAAGCAAAAAAAGGAGAAAATAAAGTTCCTCTTTGGATTTAAGGCGGAGGTTAAGGGAGCCTCCGAAATCCCTTTCTGCCTGTCCCCCTCCGCCCCGCTTCCCTTTCCCCGGCGCTAGGCAGGCAACGGCGCCCCGGCTCGCCTCGGACCCCTCTCCGGTTCGCCTTCCCGAGATCTCTCCGCCTGCCTGAGACTCTTTGCCCGGTTCTGTAAATCTCCTTTGCCCCGCCAAGGTGCCTCTTCTCTCCATACTGACCTCGTAGATGTCTTCGTATTTCACATTTTCCACCAGTTTCCAGAGCATGATGGCGGGCTGTCCTCTAGGAGGTGAGTGCATTCATGTGAAGAGCAGATGTCTGGATTCTCAGGACTTCTCTGTCTGTAATGATCCATCTATAATTGGAAATGGGGGACAGACACCAAATCCGACGTTCCTCTCCCATCGCAACTTATATCTGTTGTCTGAAACAATAGGCTGGAGAAGGAAGCCTCAGACAGAGAGGAAAAATCATTCCCATCTGTGGAGTTTATATAGAACACATAGACATATTGAACACACATAGATTATGCATCTAATTACTCACCCACCCTTGATACGGCTATATGTTCATACACACGCGCGCGCGCGCGCATACACACACACACAGGCAAGTTATGAAAAAGAACGCCGGAGCTATTTCTGTAGGTAAGCACCCCGATTTGTGCATGTGTTTACACACATATACATACATATTTCGGGACACACTCAGAGGAAAAGTGCAAACAGGGATCTTAACTTTCTGACCGCACGGAGCGTGTGTTGCACATATTTCCTTCTGCGGATCGATTTTGTTTATGCAGTATACCCAGGCACTCTTTCAAACAATTTAAAGATATATCAGTTTATATTAACTGTAATACGCACACACGTATTTTATATGGGTGAAATTTACAGCTAAAAACTCACGCGCACGCGCGCACACCCAGGCACACACAACACAGAGAGAGAATTATTTGTGATGTAAATAGACATTTTCTTCCTTTTGGGGGAGGTGGGAGAGAAACAGATTTTTTATAAATTCTGATTCACTGAAAAATGCAAAGACAAGGGGGCCAGTAACGACCTTAGAGGCGAAAATGTTGGTTAAGTTTACACCCCACGTCCTTTAATTTCAGACAATTTTTTTCTCTTTCCTCGGTGGAAAACCAAGGCAGTCCCCAAAGACTAGGTAGGACCACCCTACTCCGGCCGTATTTAACCCAGGGGAGCTCATTTCAAAGATCCCTCTCATGAAACGGTTTTTTCTTTGTTTTATTTTGTTTCCACACTTGCCTGGTTTTTTGAGCGGACGTTTAACCAGCTACGCGTTTTAAAACGAGCTCCATCTCAGCGAGGCAAGCTGAGGAGGGGACAAGTTGCGGAGGGGACAAAAAACAGAAAACAAAAAACCCCCGACCCTTGGCTGGGTGCGGAAGCAGGCCTTTCCCGCTCGGATTTCAGGCACTTTTCGAAAGGTCTGCGAATTTCAAAGCCTCCGAAGTGACTTAGGAGGAGAATAGCTGCCTTCTCTAGAGGTCTTTTTACAAGAGTGGGCAAGCCCTCGAGGTTCCGCCTTCTAGGAAGGGGGAAAAGGTGAGCTGCTCAACGAAGAGTCCGGGTGTCCTTGCCCAACCCCAAATAACAGTGAGAAATCCAACTTTTTTCCCCTCTCCCTCTCCCCCCCCTCCCGGTTGCCCGTAACCTCAGAATGCACCTTTCCAGCAGGGGCTGTCGGAAAGGGCAGGAGGAGGGAGCAGGTCAGACGCTCTCGCAGCCAGCAGGTAGCTGGAATAAGAGGAGCAAAGGCAGGTTGGCCTTTGCACGGAAGTGATGAAAGCTGGGAAGAGGGAGCCGCGGCAGCAAAGCTTGCCGTCTTATAAGCGGCTCTGGGCGGGAGGAGGAGGAGGAGGAGGAGGAGNCTCTTTCCCTCCCTCCCCCTCTCTCTCTCTCCCTCCCTCTCTCTCTCTCTCCCTCTCCCCTCTCTCTCTCCCTCTCCCCCCCCTCTCTCTCTCTCTCTCACACACACACACGGACGGACAATTTTCCAAAGCTGGCAGTATTACAATAAGTGAAAATCTTCACCCCGAACTCCAAGTCTGGGTTCAGCTCCTGCTTACTGGGAAGTAAGTCCTGCCCGCTTTCAATGGGGGGGGGCAACCCCAAATAAGTGTGAGTCGTCCCTTGGCACCCGGAATGGACTCCCCAGTTTTTAAGCTAAGGATCGCGACTTTGCCAACGGGCAGAGGACAAACTGGAAAACGATTTGGATACCCCGTGTCCTCCCACTCAATCTGCCTCCCTCTTTCCCGTAGCGCGGCTTCTCCTCCTGTTGCGACGGGAGCCGGTCCCTTTGGGCTGTGCTGTGGTGGAAGTGATCCCAGTGTCCTCGCCGCGGCGAGGTCAGGTTGGTCCTGTTGGGAAAACCCACGTGCATAAAAATACTACAAAGGGTAAACCGGATTTGTAACCTTATTAGCTGGTTCGCCAATAAAATTTATTATTGCCTTTCCTACACGAAACTGTGCCCCGGAGGTGCTAAACTTAAGCGTGTGAGCTCCTGGCTTCCAGCCTTCCTCTAGAGCCCCCCCGGGGAAGGCCCATTTTACACTGAAGCAGACAGTTAGTAGTTAGGTCGAACTTCCCCTGCAGCTCAACTAGACGTGCAGTGAGGTGGAGTAGGAAATAGGCGCGTTTAAGGCTTCGGCGCGGCAGGATTGAAAAAGCGGAGTCTTAATTTAGGAATACGTTCTGATTCCTCTTCCTTACCCGCCTGGATCAGCCTGCAACCTTACGTTTAAAACCTGGGAGTAAAACGCCTTGAACCAATTGGGGCTTCCTTCCAACTGAACGTGGGGAAGACTGCCCTGGACAGAGATAGTGGTTTGAATTGGCTATTCGACAGGCCCGAGAACACGGCACGATCCAATTCAGCCGAAGACGCCAATGTGTCTCTAGGTGTTGGGGTGGGGGGGAGGCGAATAAAAGTTGGGATTTAAACACATTAAGACCGGAGAGCTACGTTCGTTCCTTGGGACTTCTGCCGCACTGTATATTCCAAAGCGCTGCCCCTAGAATGCGATGTAAAATGTGGGAAACGCGAACACGCGTTTGAAGGCGATTTAGCCGCGTAGGTTTAATATGTCAAGAGAACTTGGCACGGCAGAAAAATTACAGTCGAGGGACCTGCCTTTCTATGGGCTACAACAGATCCTCGAACCCCTATTAATGGGAAGCTTGAGTGTGAAATGAGCGGCGTACGTGTGTGTGTGTGTGTGTGTGTGTGTGTGTGTATGTATGGGGGGGACCTGTAATTCAACAAGACAACAGCGCCCTCTAGGGATTCTTGCAAGCTTGCAAACACAGTTGAAATCAACCTTTCGGTTTATTAAACGCGTGCGGGGTGGGGTAGGGGGGGAATGGCAGGAAGCTGTCCTCTCCTTTATTAGAAGGGAGATTAAAGCGAACGCGATCTTTTAGCAATGTTTGGGTTCGAGGTGTTTGACTAGGTCGGGAAGATTGAGATTCAAGCCCATCCTCCGCAACAGAAGCAGCCAATCTACCTTGGCTGTTATGGGGGGGGGGGAATGGGAAGCGGGAGCGCTGTGCACGTTGAACTTGGGCTCCTGGGGAAGAGGCGGGATAGAAATTTGACAAAGAACATAATTCCACGGCGATTCGCGCTGCAGCCATTTGTGTGGCTGAAAAAATATTCCTGTATGCCAAGGTTCAGAGGACCGCTCGTTATTCAGCTGTGGCCACCTGTGGCCTCTCCGCAATTCAGAAGCGTCTCTAAGGCTCTTTCCTCCGGCCAGACCCTATCCTACTTTTACTTTTTGGGGAGGAATGGAAAGATATTTTGTCCGTTCGCCGTTTCCAATATAGTGAGGTGTTTGGCTCCAGCAACGATCTGCTGGGAGTTTTGTATTCCTTCCTTTAAGAAAGCGGGTCCCTGTAGTACAGTGTTTCTCAACCTTGACAATTTTAAGGCATGTGGACTTCAACTCCCAGAATTCCACAGCCAGCATTGCTGGCTGTGGAATTCTGGGAGTTGAAGTCCACATGCCTTAAAATTGTCAAGGTTGAGAAACACTGCTGTAGTAGATGCACTCAGCCCGGGAAAGCCGCGGTCATCCGAGAGCGGTCATCTAATTTTGAAACAATTTATTTTCGCGCCCTCTGCTGGAGGTCGTAGGCGTTTTTCCGCGCTGCTCTTTAAAACGGTGCGACTCGATTTTAATCTCTTACAGTACAGAGCCAAATTTCTAAACTAGCGTTGGACCTCAGTGCCGTTTAAAAAAAATAACATCTTTTATCTCTAGCATCTTAAACTAGTAAAAATTCCAGAAAATGTAGGAAACGGTGGCATTGAAATTTCAGCGTGCTTTTTATTCAGAAACATTTATATGTGGAGTACAAAAATCTGCCACTTGATCGAAATGAATAATACACGCACAATTATTTCATGAAACCTATATGCCCCCATCTTAAACAGCTCAGAGATATTCTTTATATCTCATGTTTTTGTATGTCATGTTATTTTCACAGAAACCGTAAAATTCATCTGCAATGTTGATTTTCAGATACAAAATGTAAAAAAGTATCATTTTAGCAGAAGACGTTTAATTTTTTTTTAAAGGAATGCTGAGGCTAATGATTAAAGATGTGAGATTGCATAAAATCAAACTCCAGAATGTTCTCTTTCTATTTCAGGTAGCAATTCATTATTTATATTAAGAATATCTGCTTACATTGTTGTATACAACTGAGAAGGGGATGCATTAGAAAAGTGACATGGGGGGGGGGACTGAATGCAGTGGGAATGGAGTCTGATCTTGGTATAAAATAAATGTAGGGTTTTTCTCATGTCTTGCTTTTTCAGGAGCTGTCCCATGGAAATCTGGGAGAATAATTCAAGGTGGATGTAACTAAAGCATGCAGCACCAGACTAGTTTAAGTGTACCAAGAATGGATGCATCTGGGTCACCGGCCCACACCCTTCCTACCAGTTAATGATTGAGCATCTAAATGAACTTTCAAGCTTTGAGTCTGATCTCTTCAAGAGGGTGCATTCCCCAGTACAACAGCTGATGTGGCTGCTCTGCTAAATTTTCTATTCAATATGCCTCTTTCTTACCAGGATTACATTTCAGTTTGTTTACTCCCGTCCAAGTATCCACCACGTTTCAAGTGCTGACTCAGAACGTCCACAGGAGACAATGGAATCGAAAGATCCAGCAGAGTGGCATTAGTTTTCACTAGGATGAAAATCCAGTACCCGTCACTGATGGAGCTCCCCCCCCAGATCTAAACAGGTATTGAAAAGCAAAAGAGGCCAAAAGCAATATTGAAAAGCAAAAGAGGCCAA